GACGTGTAAGGGCCTTAGTATACATGAACACACAATAGACGACACGGCATCACATATCGTACAGTATAACAACGCAGCAGGAGAGTTCCGGCTTGGAACAGTTTCAGTTACATTACTGTGCGTGTTCTCCCCACTCCCCAGAACCACCGATGGTAGATCATGGGGGGGGGGGGCGAGCATATATATATATATATATATAATAACAGTTTCATGTCCGGCCCTTGGGGTTGAGGTCAGACGAGACCGCAGCGAGCAGACCTGCAGAGTTCTCGGTGCGCTCCCTCTGGAAAGAAACTTCGCGTGAAGGCTTCATGGCCATGATCCTGGATGTCTCAGCCCAGATGCCTGCAACCGTGGGGATCCGAGGTGATCCTGAGCAATCTTTCTATTCTTTTGGCCAAGTAAGCTAAAAAGAGGCTGGGTCGGAATGTTTGCTTTCGTGCGAATCCGAGGATCTACACGGCCGGGACGAGATTGGGCTTGGGCGCCATGTACCAGATCAGCTCCTTGCAGGCTGCCTTCCCTCAGTATGGCTTGGCTTGGGTCGTCGGATTGACGTACGTCCTGCGACTCAGAGGTACTCAGCTGGTCTCCGAGGGAGAGTATACGCAGTTCCGCGGCTTGTTTCGATTGGCGACGGTCTACTCGTTGCTGCTCATCGTCGCCGTCGCGGCATCGGTCATCCCCTACAGTGATGCACTGTCCTTTCTCCAAGCAGAGCAAGCCTGTGAGTACGCTTCGGATCTTTCTTGCCTTCCTCACTACAACAGCATATTTGGCGGCGGCCACATGACAGGCGACACCCTCCAGCAGGCCTTCCTATATTTTTTCACGCCTGTCTTGATTGCGCGGTGCTTTTACCAGGCTGGAAGGTATCGAAAGAAGCCTATTGGGCACCTGGCCGCTCTCGGATCGGAAACAAAAGTCTTGAAATCGTGGGATACGCCGCAGTGTAGGTTCCCTCAACCCTTAAGCCCCTCCTCGTAGGTTTTCAAAGCCGGGATGTACGTGTGCTTGGACTGGAGCTTCATGGCCAAAGTGGGCCTGATCTCCTTGTCATGCATCTTCGTGCCGGCGATCCTTGTTGCTGTTTGGGGTCTAGGCCTGCCTGATGAAGTATGCGCGGGGAGTGACGCGTTTGTCAAGATTAATGACAGGACTAGGTTGCATTTGCAACAAGGTTTTGCTGTCTCACACTTGAAGACGTATTGCACCCCGGCGGGGCTCTTTGAGAGGTACGGCCTCAGCGATCTTCGTCGCGATGTATTTGCCCTGGCTTTTCATGACCGGTGCCTTCATGCTGCGGACGCGGCATAACATCAAGAAGATGCTGGCAGGGAGATCGGGCCCATGGCTGAAGATACCAGCCGAGCACAAAGACTCAGACACCTCGGTTAGTGAGTAGAAAAGCATGGGAAGCGCTTCGCGAATCTTGTTGCTTGAATTCAATCTTTACTGTTGCAGAATTTTCAGCTGACCGACTTCCCTTGCACCAAATCGACATATCCCGGGACCCATGCGGCAGCGTTTTCAGCCAGGGGACAGGAAGAAAAGCGGATACTGTGAGCGTCTAACGTGGGAACCCACCCCGAGCCGTCCCTTCACCTTTCATCCCATCGCCACAGTGCAAATGGTGTGCTCTCTGCCTTAAATGTCTCTTTGGCAGCCTTCTGGGTAGTTCTCTCTGGCCTTGGGAAGATCGCAGTTTTCAGGCCGACCATCACTCATAAGGCGGGAGGCAAGAATCACTCATAACACCGACTCTTGGATACATGAGCCTCAAACAGGACGTCATGAAGCAATATGGGTATCAGTCTTTGTTATTTTATGTTAATCTTCAACGCAACTCCTCTGGGCTCCTTTTGCGGCGATATACTCCAAAACGAACCCTAAACCCAAGCCCCATTACTCCTTAGGATTCCCAGTGATAATCATGGCCCGATTATTTTCCCAAAAAAAAAAACGTTCCAAAGCCCCATTTTAAATATATTTGTTCCCATCTCCCTTCCGGACCTGCCTTGGCTATACTTGGCTTTGACGCAGGCAAACGCGATCGACGCGGAGGCATCGCCACTTCAGCCTACCGCCAGTACCAGAAATCATAAGTCCAAGAGAGGACGCCTGAGATCCTTAACCTTGAATCTCCGTAGAGCAACGCGGAGCAGTTGCGACGAAACACTGAAGTGCTGTACTTTCTCCACCACATGTACGCCAAAAGGCCATCGTAAAAATGAGTCCGAATGACTGCAAGTGTCAGAGCGAGCACTTCGCAGACAGAATGTGTGATGCAATGCGAGAAGAAAGCCATGCAACAAGTTAGTTGTGGCAGATGATGATGTCGGCATCTTCAGAGAAGGCTGAAGACTTCTGCTCTCGGTCCACTTCCCTGTCACAGAAGGGCAATTCACATGAGCTGTGGGCTCCCTACGGCAGAGTCTTCACAGGGGCGCTTCTCCCCGGCTCCTCAAACTTGCCTTCAACCATTAACCCGAAACCCAAAGGATTCCAAAAAAGAGCAGGCAGAGACGCCTGCCCCACCGGGTGCCTACGACTTCGACCTCTTCGTGTTGGGCGGCGGAAGTGGCGGCTGCGCCGCTGCTTTGGAAGCAGCCAGGCAGGGATCGTTATACTGGAGAGTATTGATCTAGAAGCTATGAAGGGGATATATCCACCACATGCATAGATGTACGGCTGTAGCTACTGTTGCTGTAGACAAAGCATGCTTCATATGATCACTGTTCATTCCCATTTCTGTTACGGTAAGTGTGGGATTCCCGTTCCCTCGATAGGAAGACGTGTGCGCTTATGAATTGGTAAAATGACATCGGGCCGCAACCCCTCCACACACGCACTGTCACCTCCCCAAACTCCAACTAGTCTAAGCCCGTTTCCGGCCTGAAGGATCTTTGCTGCCCCGCATTCCATATGATGGTCGGTCCATCCACCACCACCAGCACCCTCGACCCCAAACCCCGTGAAACAAAACAGTTATCTTTTAATCTTGGTCAGCCTGTCCTGAAGGTTTTCGTTGTTGATGTAGAATACCCGGATGTGGCGCACGGTTGATTTCCCGTTCACAAGAAGTTGAGCAGCGTTGATGGATATCGTAAGATTTTTGTGCGGTTTCTTGCCAGACCGCAAACGGGGCTCCTTCCTGTCCAGGAAGCCCACTCTAGCGTGATCGTGTGGTCGGGGGAGGAGCGCTCCAAACGCAGACATGACACCCCAAAAGCCCTTTGCCTCGAGTTGTTCTCTCTTGCGCCGTGCTCAGCCTTGGAGGGACAAGACGAAGAAGATCGCCGTAGCAGACTTCGTAAAGCCATCACCGCAGGCTTTGAACCCAGCTATTTCCGTGGCTGATGGGACTTCCAAGGGTTCTCGGTGCGAAGGGTTTATCCAACAATGTACCCAGCCGTGAATCGCGCAAGCTAGAATCAATTCGGTATTCCGGGAATAGAGTTCCGGCTTATGCAAGCCATGTTTTTGCATCGGGGCGCTTCTCGGCGGCTGACAGGTCCTTTCAATTCTAGGGCAGGGGGCTCAGAGGAAGGATCCGAAAGGGTGGTTGTCAAAATTATGGTCCCTTTTTGGGTCCTTATTATAATACGGCACCTATTACTTAGGGGACCCTAAAAGGGACCAATTTTGACAACTACCCAAAAGTTTGGAGTTTGGAATGCGTGCGATGAGACGTGTCTTACTCGTGTCTCGACTCCCGGTCTCGCGGTTTTTAGACTTCTTAGATCCACAGCCAACATACTGTCCCCTGGGTTTCTGCAAAAAAACGGAGGCTGTTGATCACATTCCAGCTCAACAGGAAAAGCTCAAACCGGTATTCCAAAGTTCTTGTGGCTGGAACGCTCTCTTTGTTTCTAGAGGAGTCGCCCATGCGCCCGTGTCGTGGTTCGTGCTGCTATTTGTGCGAAGTCGTGGGAGGTTGGCAAGCCGCCCCCCGTGTTAGACTTCTGCCTCTCAGGTCTTAAGTTTGCCCGCATGCTGCTCTGTGAGGTTGACCAGGTGTTGAGGATCGCAGCAAAAAGTCGTGAAAGTCAGGATGCTGCCATTGACAGCTTGGAATACAACATGCATTGGGTTGCGCCGAGATGTCAAGAAATGTCGAATCTGCTGCTTTCTGACCGCGCAGGGAACCACATGGGGAGTTGGTGGTACATGCGTGAACGTGGGCTGCATCCCAAAGCAACTTAGCGGCACTACCTTCACAGTGCAGAGCTAGCTGGAGCTCCTGATCCGCATGTAGCTGTTCCATGCCCGTGGTTCAACCAGATCCGACATGATTTCTCAGTCTCCGGCAAGGAAGCTTATGCACATCGCAGCAACAAAGAAGGAGGACCGAGCCGTATCCTGTGCACACATGCTCCACCTACGAAGGTTCAGTGCGAGGCATTGAAGCCAAAACAAATATGTGTACATGATCCAGGCACTACCCCTCCCCCCCCTTTTGGCTTGGGCTCCTGGTCTGTTTCGCCCCCCCCCCCC